GACCCTCTCACCTGTCTGTCCATAGGCAAAAATACAAGCATTGTATCCCTGAAAGGCCTTTTCAAGAATTCCTTCTCCAAGGCACTTAAACACCACTTCTTGTCCTAAAATAAACAAAAACAAAACAGCAAATCGCAAAGAAACACTGCAGTTTATTTAAAGTAAAGGAACAGGAGTCTCTTTTCTTAACTGACACGGAATCTAAATGGAAATGTTTGCTCTTCTGAGAGCATTGCTAAGAAAGAAAAATATCATTAACACACAAAAATAAAAAAAAAGATTTGAAGCCTGCTTGCTTATGGCACACAAACTATATTTAAGCATTTTAAAAAGTTGCTCAGTTTTCATATGCGCTGAGCACCTTACATTTAACGTTAGTGAAAACTACAGGTATCTAACATCTCTGAAAAAATCAAAACTTAAATCTGTGCCTAAAAAAAGAACCTAAGTGGCTAAATTTTAAGGGAACCAAGTGTGAAAGTATTAGTCAGCATTCGTTCTTGAATTAGAAAAATGCACACGGAATGACAACTATTGCAACACAACTACTTTAATATGTTACATCTCCTAGTTTAAAGAATACTGTACTAAAGGTTGTTCCAGATATTGCACTCTTGCAATCTGGTTCTCAAGTTTCAATAAAAGCAAGTTATTTTTCTTCCCAAGTCAAGATGGCATCTTGAGCAAAACAAAACAACTGAGATTCTGTCTAGGGACAATATTCATATTATTGGGTTGTATGGCTTAGATAGGCTGGAGTGTATGCTAAGCTTTTTTTCCCCCTGATAAGCATATAATTTCAAAATCTAGATTCAGAGACCCAATGTGGAAATCCTTTGTTGTGTGCATCAGTCATAGAAGACTTTAAGTATGCTTTAGGCATTATAAACCAAGATATGAAAGTAGTGGATGTCATCTGAAAGTTCAGACTCTGAACCACCAACAAGGAAAGTATGTTGTGCATTTTGAGCTCTAGTCTCTGAAGTGAGCCATCTATATCTACTCCAAAAGTAGGCAGTGCTGAGTTAAGGGTAAGTTTGTATACGCTGCGGGAGTGGGGTGGGGAGATTTTAACCTTTGAACACTGCATAGTGATTTTGTAGGATATTTTATGGTCATTGTTGCTTAACTCTTATTTAAAGTTTTGAGTTGTTTAAACACTGAATTGCAACTAGCCAAACTTTTCCTTGGCTTAACTTAAACAACAAATCGTCTGGTAGCACTTTCTAGACTAACAAAACATGTAGATGGTATCATGAGCTTTCATGGGCACAGCCCACTTCTTCAGATGACTGCTCATCTGAAGAAATGAGCTGTGCCTATGAAAGCTCATGATATCATTTACATGTTTTATCTATAAAGTGCTACCAAACCATTTGTTTTTAAAGATTATCTTGTACAGACCCCCCCAAAGTTTCTTTTCCTTGGCTTAGTGGGTATGCTGATGAATCACAGTCTCATAGGACTGGAAGAGACCTCAAGAAGTCATCTAGTCCAATGTCCTGTACTCATAGAAGAATTAATATCAGATCATTCCTGATAGGCTTTTGTCTAACCTGTTCTTTAAAATCTCCAATGATGGAGATTCCACAGCCTCCTTAGGCAATTTATTCCAGTGCTTAAGTAGCCTGACAGTTAGGAAGCTTTTCCTAATATCCAGCCTAAATCTCCCTTGCTGCAATTTAAGCCCATTGCTTTTTGTCCTATCCTCAGAGAACAAAGGAGTTTTTCTCTCTCCGCCCCTTTAAGTACTTGGAAACCATGATCACATCCTTTTCTAGTCTTCTCTTTTCCAGACTAAACTAAGCCAGTTTTTTAATCTTCCCCTGCTGATCACATTTTCTAGACCTTTAATCGTTATTGTTGCGCTTCTCTCGACTTTCACCAATTTAGCCACATCTTTCCTGAAATGTGATACCCAGAATTGGAAATAATATTCCAGATGATGCCTAATCAGCACAAGGTAGAATTAGTTCTCGTATCTTGCTTACGACACTCCTGCTAATACCTCCCAGAAAAATGTTTTTGCTTTTTTGTTGACTCATTTAGTCTGTGATCCATCATGACCCCCAGATACCTTTGCTCAGTACTCTTTACTAGGCAGTCATTTCTCATTTTGTACGTGTGCAAGTGACTTTTCCTTCTTAAATGCAGTACTTTGCATTTGTCCTTGTTGTCTTTCATCCTATTTACCTCAGACCACTTACCTGATTATCATTTTGGATATCATCCTGACCTCCCCATAGCACTTGCAACCCCTTCCATCTTGGTATCACCTGCAAATTTTATAAGTGTACCCTTATGCCATTATCTGAATTACTGATATAGATATTGACCAGAACTAGACACAGAACTCATCTTTGTGTGACCCCATTTGTCATGCCCTCCCAACATGACTGTGAAGCACTGATAACTACTCTCTGGGAATGTTTTTTCAACTAGCTTTGCACCCATCTTATAGTACCTCCCATGGAGGTTGCATTTCCCTAGTTTGTTAATGAGAAGGTAATGCAAGATCAGTATCAAAAGCTTTACTAAAGTCAAGATATACAACATCTACCACTTCCCCCTCCCACGCACAAGGCTTGTTACCCTGTCAAAGAAAGCTAGCAGGTTTGTTTGACACGGTTTGTTCTTGACCTGCTGAGTTCAAGTGCTCTCAGCAGCAATGACCATAAAATACTCTACAAAATCATTATGCAGAGTATAAAAGCTTGAAAACAGCCTCAATACCGCTCCCACCCCCCATGCTTAACTCAGCACTAATTATACAGAAGGGGGAGAGAACCTATGTGCTTTTCAGCAATAGATCTAATTACCTCAAGATAAAAATATAAATTTTAAATAATACAAGGTGATGAATGTGGCATATAATATGTATCTCTAACTGCTAAGCAGACTCTTGTGAATTTCGTAACTCAAATATGTCAAATGATACAAGGATATAGACAACTGCTGCAGTCTGGAATACAGTATTTTTGAAATTTCTAAGCAACACAAATGTTTTGTTACCTCACTTAACTATATTGATACTTTCACTCATTTATATCATACTGAAACTATTCTCTATAACTTGAAATTAGCCTTGTTTACCAGCACTTTATGACCCAACTTAGAACAATCAGCAACTTCCTTTATTACAGTGTAAGATTTCTTTACCACAAATCTGCCAGATAACTAAAAATGTTAGTCACTTGATGCCTCAGAAACAATTTTGCTGAAATATGAACTTCTCATATTTTTACTGCTAGTGTAATGCAGATGAGAACAGGATCTCTGTGGCTTAAGAGTTTGTTTCCTTCTGCAGGGATTTTTCTTTGGAGGGGGGGGGGGGAAAGATGAAGTCTAACTTTCTACAACATTACAATAATCTACACAGTAAGTAATTGGGATGTCCTTCTTATACATGATGGTGATAAGCACTATAGAAAACACTAAGACAGTTATCATGGATATTTGGGTGAAAAATATGTAGTCTCAATTAGAGGATCTAAGAGTGCATAAACTTGCTTCTTCAACCAACTCCTGATGGCATAATCCAGCATTATCAAAGCACTTATTTCACAAGGAACTCCTTGCTTTTCTGCCAGATAAAACTGCAAAGTTAAATGGTGAATGAGGATGAATATATATATTTCAAAGAGAATAAAATTATAATTTAATATAGAACTTATGAGATAGCAAAACAGAAAAATCCAAAATAAAAGGAACATTAATTGCACCAACTGCAGCCGGTGGATGGGAGAGGAGGGGAGGAAGGAAAAAAAGGGGGAGGGGAGAGAGAAAGGTTGGAAATAAAGAAGCATAAAATGGACTGTATAAGTGATGGACATAATCTGGCCCACAGAATGTTTATTACTAAATGACAAGGCAGAAATAGAAAATAACAGAGTCTAACAATAGCAGTTGAGTTTTTACAGAGCTTGCAATCAGAAAAACATTTAATTTTGAATTCAACACCACTTGTCCAGAGTGGCATTTTTACAGTCACTTTTTAGAGCAGACCCACTCTAACAAACACATATAAGACTACTGTTTATTCTATACAAACTGTTAAGGGATACGATGAAACTTACTTTTAAAAAGAATTCATGCAAAAAATTAAATTTCTATTATGTGGAAATTTTTCACTAATCCAGTGATATTCTTGATGGTAACCATATGGAAGCCAGGAAATTCAGAGGTATGGCTCCCACAGAGTCTTTCCTTTTCCATTAGGTTTGTATTTTCACTGACGTTTTTTGTTAAGTAGTCACAAAATCTATGAGAATTATGCAAATTAGGGATGTGAAAGGTTAACTAGTAAGCATCACTCTTAACCAGTGATGCTTGCCGGTTCATCAGGTGGGGACTGGAGCAGCTACCTGCCTGTCATGGGGTCTGCCACAGTCTCAAGGGGGCCCCCTGCAGACAGGGGCAGTTGTGGCAGGGAGTGGGGTGGATTACCCCCCTTAATTAGTTAACCGGTTAAATATGAACTAAACTTCGCATTTAACCAGTTAGCCAATTACATGACATTTTACATCTCTAATGCAAAATGCAAAGCATTGATGATTATCCAATGCAAATGCAGAGCCTTTGTTAGGGTGTGTCTAGACTACATGCCTCCGTCGACGGAGGCATGTAGATTAGCCAGATCGGCAGAGGGAAATGAAGCCGCGATTAAAATAATCGCGGCTTCATTTAAATTTAAATGGCTGCCCCGCTCTGCCGATCAGCTGTTTGTCGGCAGATCGGGGCAGTCTGGACGCGACGCGCCGACAAAGAAGCCTTTCTTGATCGGCACAGGTATGCCTCATGAAACCAGGTTTACCTGTGACGATCAAGAAAGGCTTCTTTGTCGGCGCGTCGCGTCCAGACTGCCCCGATCTGCCGACAAACAGCTGATCGGCAGAGCAGGGCAGCCATTTGAATTTAAATGAAGCCGCGATTATTTTAATCGCGGCTTCATTTCCCTCTGCCGATCTGGCTAATCTACATGCCTCCGTCGACGGAGGCATGTAGTTTAGACGTACCCCTACATACCACTATATACTGTATTTGTTGAATAATCCCATGTCCACTGTTGATTTACCCTTTAATCTGACAGATTTGGGAGCAAAAT